TGAAGATTTCAAAGCCCATTTCTTAGAGGAGAAATGAAAACAAACATGAGTTTTAAGTTGGCCTCTAAGACCACCACTGAGAAGCCACCTGAGATTTTTCTTCCCCCAGCCCTGACACATATTTTTTTAAAACTTCAACCCCCAATTCAGGTGCTATCAGATGTTTCAATTCCTTGCTGAGGGAGAGATTCTTATTAATGGGATTGGCAGTGAAGACAATTAAATACACAAAAAACAGCACATTCTGTAGATGCCAAGCCTGCAAGACAGTTCTCACTGGAACAAGGGCAGCTGGGGATTCATCTAGAACCCAATATGCGGCAGAACAGGCAGCTTCACTTGCCACGTGCTTTCCCACTGGCCACCAATTCCTCCCGAGTCCATATCCAGAACGTCTCTGAAAATTCCTGAAGGCAGAGGGGGTGGGGGAAGGGCAACCCCAGGCCTGAGGACACTCCGTGCTCCTCCCGTTAGGTCCAGATGGGACAAAAACAGACACCCTCTGCATTCTTCATCACCCTCCACTGTGCCTGACTACTTACAGGGCTGGGGAACTGCATCTAGTCAAAGAGGAAATGGCCTTACATGGGACCTGGCACTTGCCCTTTCACGTAGAAAGTGCTCTCCTCTTCTTTGGTAATTAAAGTTCCACCCTTTACAACTTGCTCTAAGCACACCTCTTCTGATTAACCTCATGTTTCTGAATGATGCTCGAAGCACCCTTAAACTTAGGTGTGCTTTGATGATGACTTTCTTGCAAGTGTTTCAGCCTGTTTGCCTGGAGGCGAGGCAGCATTTGCTGCCAAAGAACTGATTCCCCATGTCCTTATTCTTGGCTCTACCTCAACTGTACCTCTCCAGATGAAACCTCTCCTAGGGTCCCGCTCCCAGCTGAGACTGCAGAAATCGTCACGCTGGAACACGTCCCTTCTGCAGGACAGCTGGGGGCCCCCTGCTGCAGAAGGCCACAGAGAGCTCTGCCCTACTGCCGGGACCCTTCCCCAGGCGCCAGAGCCCAGGCACCTTTCCACCCCACCGGCATCCCACAAAGCTGCTGATCTTCTCCGTTGAAAAAGTAGAGAGGCCCATAAATTTTATCAAAACCCAGGGCCTTAAAAATAAACAAAAGAACAGAAAAATAAGCAGAAGCTTCTTGGGAATGTAAATGTTCCCCATCTCGGGTAGCAGGTAGCTGGGGTATCTATTTTGCTCCTGTTATTTAAAGGGTACATATATTTTCAGACACTTGTATATATACGGCATGTTTCACAGTCTAAAACAGGCTTTCCCACGGAAGGTCATATTTGTTGTCCCGTGAAGCCTTCGCCAGCGGGCTCTCTCCGGGAGCAGGGAGGAGCATGGTGCACCTGGGATCCACACAGGCTGTGAGCCAGCAAGGACAGTCCTACGGGATTCAGTGTGACTTTCCCTCAGCTCTTTGTTTCGAATCGCTCTTCACTCTGAGCAGACAGGAAGACCAGTGAATGGTACAGATGAAGGCACCCAAGTGAGTCATGAGTTAGAAGCATTTCGAACCAGGACCAGGATGATGCACTTCAGAGCACCCCCTTCTTCTTGGAAAAAAGATTAATACTGTTCAGAACTCTCTGGGGAAATGAATCGCAGAGGCGTCTGCGAAAGGAAAGAGATGCTCAGGGGAAAGTCCAGAGGACGGTTTCTGGCCAGCACACCCGGAACCTTCCTTTCAGGAAAGGCGCAAGTCCTCCAGTTGCTCAGGGGTGGGAGAGATGGCAAGGTTGGCGATTTCCTCCCCTGCTCTCGGGCTTCTAAAAGGCCTCAGGGCAGAGCCAGCTGACTCTCTTGCTTAGCCACCCATCCCGGGCCTCAGCAACATCTACCACATGTCGTGTTTCTAACAGGAACATGTGCTCCATGTCCCTTTCTGCAGTTTTCCCCTGAGCTCCTCCCACTCCCCCTCTCACTAGCTCTGGGTTTACTTGCTGGAAAATCTCAGTGTACTTTTGGTCAGCCAACACTCTCTGTAAGCAGCAATCTAGCACGTCCTCCCAGCTAGTAAGGAAACTGGCAGGAGCAAAGGCCTGGATAATGACCACAAATGAATCCAAGACATGAACTCAAGTGGTTCAACGGAGTGCACGCCACAGGCCAAGGGAGAAGGCAATGTGACTCTGAATTCTGGGGCTCCGGTTGCAGGAGTGTCTGGTGACATTGCCCCCGAAGGTCACATCAAGCGTGTAGAGTAGCTGAGAAGGCCTCCAAAGTACCTGCATAAGCTGCCTGTGGGGCAATGTATTTTTGCAGGCTATTTTTCAGTTAGAGTTTTAAAATTGCTGCTTAAACTATTTTTCCTTCTCACTGGTACTCCACGCCCCCCAGTCTCGGATCCCAGGCCACCGCAGGAGCAATCTACAGTGTAGTCCTCCATGACACTGAAGGACAAGAAGGGAGACCGCTGGAGTCCCTGCTCTGGGACTGCTCGGCAAGCTCTGGCTATCAGGGCACATGCGGATCATTCTCTCCTCTCCTTTCGCCCAACTTCCATGAGGTGCTTCAGACAAAGCCCTTTTTTTTCCTCGAGATGATTTCCTCCACTGCACCTAATCCATCACAACGCCTGGAGTTGTCACAAGAAAACAGAAGTGGACCAAGGGACCAAAACTTCCTATTTCCGAAGTTTAAAATTAAAACAAAACCAAGCCAGAACTGCAGGGTGCTCCAGGCCAAACACAGGTAGGGGACAGGGGGTGTTAAAAAATCAAACTTACCCTATTGCAGTACCATCCCGTCTAAAACAAGTTAGCTTCTACGCAGTGCTAGAGCCAAAGATGGGATTTTTCCATTGCTGGAAAACTATGCCAGCACTGGAAAACAAGTTTGGACATACTTCAAAACTCCTAGTCCCTTTCCCCAGAAAAAGGCTCAGAAAAGTTGAGTGACTTGCCTGAGATCACACAGCAAATTAAACTGCGATAGCCCCCAAGTTCGTGTCTGGCTCTGAAGTCCCTACTTTGTAAACACGTGATAAAGCAGATGGAGATAAACAGGAAAAGGCCCTGTTTGTCTCCCTGAGCTCCCACGGAGCAGGCAGCAGCTAGGTTTTCCCTGAGCTGCCAGCCTGGGTTCACACAGCTGTGGTCAGCTCAGAAATATGTTTTCTGATGGGGGTGGAGGACAACTTGGAAGGACAAGAGAAGAAGGTCTTCTCTCACACCTGATCTCAACTTTGGTTCAGGGACGGCCCGCATTTAATATCAAGTGTAGAGCTGTTGTTGCTGTGTGCCCCAATCAGTAAGAGTGTCAACCACCACCACCCCCCCCCCCCAGCAAAAAAAGAGAGAATATAAGAGGTAAGCGGGTAAAGAATGAGCTTCTTTCAGCAGCTTTATCTACAGAGACAAAGACACTGCAGCCCCCACACCACAAGCCCACCTTCCCTTGTGAAGGCAGCGGGGGAAATGAACAGAGTCGATGGTCTTCACTGTGGCAGGAGCTGGATCGTGGGGGAGTTTTCAAGGCTGCTTTTCACGGACTCGGGGTGAGGATCCCACCTTGCCAAGGAATCAGGGTGTGCTGGCCAGACCCATCTGGATCAGCCCAGAAGGAAGCTGAAGTTTGCAGCAGAAGGCTGCCCCTTCCCCAAGTCAGCACCAAGGGCAGCCCTTTTCCTTCACCATCTCATTGCAAATAGGAACCACAGCTCCTGACCACTCAGGTGGGCTCAGAGGTGGCAGGTGGGCCAGGTATCAAGGGCTCTCCCTGCACTGCCTACCCAATGGAGCTCATCTTAACACATAAAGCTAGCCCCGATCCTCTGGAAAAGAGCAGCAGCAAAATCAGAGGTTACATTCAAATAACTGCCACAAATATTTAAGATACACACACGGAGGCAGAAGTCACCTTCTTACCCCTCCCCGAGAAACACAGACAGGTAACACACACAGGTAAGACCACACTCACCTGCGCTCTGACTTCCTGACTGTGCCGCTCAGGCCAAACGAGGAATGTCATTGGTTTATTCTGGCGAGCTCCTTAGTGGCTGGTGCCACAGGAGACAGGCTTTATTTAACATAATGGAGTCCTTTTGCTCCCCTAGCCAAGACCTTGCACCCCCCTTCTGGAGAAAATCTCCCCAAGGCATCAATGTCCAAGGCATCTAAGTTCCTTCCTTGGGCTGACATCTCTCTCAGCCCGGCAGTGAGCTGGCTGAAGAAGTCTGAGCCTGCGATTCCTGTGGCAGCTCCAGCAAAGGTGCATTCTTTATCACAGCTGCTGTTTTAGTTAATACAGAGACATATCCAGTACAGCTCAATAATGGTCTCGGCAACCGCAGGCTGGAGAACGAAGGCCTCCCAGCTGCATGTGGCCGCCTCTCTCGGATCCTGGTTCTCCCTGCCGGCTCAGCAAGTGTGCAACTTGAACCGAGGCCCCAAACCGGCGCAAGCACCGCGCGGCCACCTGTCAGTTCTCCACCCTGGGGGCTGGTTTAGGAAACCAGCCCGGATCTCCAAGCACTAGCTTAACCTCTGGCTCCACCTAACGGCAGGAAGCCCACACTCCCCTTTCACAGATGGGCAAACTGAGCTTCAATCCAGGAAGGTCCCAGAAGGAGGGAACTAATCCAGCAAAGGAGCTGATGGTCCTTTGCGTGGGCTCCCACCCTTGTCATTTTCTTCCCCTTCCAGGTAGGAGAAGGGATGTCAACTTTTTAGTTAGCATTTGGATTTCTCCAGCTCTTTGCCTGTGAATAGCGCTTCACACATATTCAAACAATCTCCGATGCGTGAGTCACTAGAACGTCTGCTGAATAATGAGGAACAAACACAGAGGCCTGAAATAAGCTGAAAGACAGAGGCACAAATGGTACCTGAGATCTAGCCCAGGGTCTGGCTGAACATCTGCCCATCCTCTCTGACCTCTGTCTGGCTTCCCCATCACTTTTATCCTGTTACAACACTTCTGCGTGGGGCGGGGAAAGCTAAGTTGCTGGTTGGGCTCTCAACGGGAGGGTCTGCGCTCACCTTTAAATCGGGAGGCTTGCTTCGGGGACCCGGGTTGGGCGCCGCGGCAGCGCCCGCATCCGAAGTTGGCCCGCCCGCAGAGTTGGCACCCGCGGCCTCCCCAGGCCGGAGGTCCGCACCCGGCAGGTGGCAAGTAGCATCTTCCAGCCCGGCTCCATCCTCCTCGCCCTGCTGTTGCTGCAGCTCGTCCGATTTGCACCTCTTCATCGTGTAGATGGGTCGGCAAGGGGAATCTGTCCTTCCAGCGCGCCGTCCTGGGGGCGGGGGGGACCGCACCCCCCTCTTACACTCAGAAACGAGGCTCGGGGTCTAAATTATTAACGAGGAGGGGAGTCTGGAGGATCACAGTCTCTTGAATTGAAAAAATAAACCTTTTCAAGGAAGGGTGAGGGAAGGGCGAGGAGCGGGGAGCCTTGGTCACAGCTTGGAATAGTTCATCGCCACCCGGGGAGCGAAGGCAGGTCACAGTCGAGGCTGGGCAGCAGGAGTCCTTGGGCAGTCATTGGAGCGGGAGGAGGAAGACAGCCCCCGGCCGCAAACTTTCTGCTTCAGGGCACGCGCAGGGCGGAGGAGAACGGGCGGCACCGCGCATCCCTCCCGGCGGGCCGGGCTGCTGGGCGCGGCAGGCATGGGGCGGCCGGCCGGGCAGGTCCTCGTCTGCCGCCCTTGGCGGCGACTGCGGCCCCCCGCCCCGCCGCGGGCCCCCGGCCCGCACCTGCCGGCTGAGGAGCCCGCAGGGCGCCCCTGCCCCGCCCGCCCGCGCGCCCGGCCCCCGCCCGCCGCACCTCCTGCTGCAAAGCCGCCGCCGCGGCCCGAGCCCGCGGCCAGCGCGCAACCTAGCCGGCCGGTGCGGCGGCCGGGCGGGGGAAGGAGAGGCGAGGAGGGCGTGACGACGGCCGCGGGCCAATGGGGAGCCCCGAGGGCCGGGAGGGGGGCGTCGCGGCCGCGTCCTTAGGGTTGGTTGCACCGCGCGATCCCCCAGGAGCGATCCGGAGGGCTGGAGTTCTGCGTCTTAGCATTGCGGACAGAGAGCTGCGGAGTTGAGATCAGGGGCCTCGGGTCACCGAGGCGCGATTTTAGCAGAAGCACCCGACGGACCCTTCCAGGAAACACTCTGTCGGGGTGTCCCCCACCTACTCATTTTGTTTGGTGAGGAGGAGGCGCCATAGGGATGCTTAGCATCACGGCTTTTTTTTTTTTTTTTGCTCTAACTTTGCACGTTATAGCATCTCTTTGGTGAGGAAGACGCAGATCCTAAGACCCTTGATCTGAATCGCGGACAGATCGCTACCTTCAGAGCTGCAAATGCAAAGGGAAGGAAGAGAGCGGGTGTTCTGCCCCATCGCCTCCTCCCCTAATTATCTAAAGTGTCTCAGCTTTGTGCTCAGAAATAAGAAAGTATCTCATTTTTTAACACAATAATGTATGTGAGAGTTTTTGCAAACTGTGAAGCAGCTTTTAAATAAGAAGGGGTTTTAATGGCAGGAGGTTGAAACATGGAAGAGAGGAAAGGAATTCCATCTCTTTCCCCCATAAATTTCAGCCACACTGCGCTGAGTAATCTGGAGGCAGAAGAGAGCAAAAACTGGGGTTACCAAGAGATGGAGCAGGGTAATTATAACAACTCCATCTGAGTAGCTACCTTGTGGTTACTGTGGATACCATGGGTTTTGCCCACCCAGGAGCCTAGATGAACAGTTCTGGAAGTAGGTCCCAGGACCAGCAGAATCAGGATCACCTGGAAACTTGATAGAAATGCAAATTATTGGACACCATCCAGACCTATTGAATCAGAAATAATGGGTCCCAAGATCCGTTTCAACAAGTCTTTCAGGTAATTCTGATGCATACTAACATTTGAGAACCACTGGCCTAGACCATAGTGAAGGGGCCACTTAGTATGTGAGTCACAGTGATCTCTAAAGCGATTCACAGTTTCCCAAGCTCTTTCACACCCATAGTACCATTCTAGCCTCACTTCAGTCCTGCTAGTCTGTGAGTTTTCTGACTCTGTTCTTTTTCCCATTCCAACCACTCGTTTTAATGTGTGTCCTAGAAGAGCCTAAGTTGTTAAGTATTTACTTCAGTCAAGCAGCTACTTTCTAAACAAGGCAGCTCCATTTTTAGAACACAGAAATTTCGAATGGGCTAGAAATGTAAAGCCCCTCCACCTCCACTACACAGTGTCAGGCACAATGTGGAAAACGAAGCCACAAGGCTCTAGCATTTTCAGTGGTGAGGGAAAAGCAGAATGCCAGTGAAGTCTGTGGCAGGACAAGGCAGAACAAGTCGGGGCCGATGACAATGGTGCATGATGTCACTGTCCCCTGATGGCTCACCCCAGGCAAGGGCAGGGATCCCACAGACCCTGGACAAGTCTTGGGTGGCAAATGGTGAGTGCATATGGATGCACGTTCATGATCTGGGTCTAGGCCGAAGAAAAGTGGAGGCTGTCATTGTGAAGCTTTAAGGAAGCAGAGATCATTATCATTCTGAATTACATCTCCTTTCCATACTAGGTTGAAGCTGACTTTGAATTTTATATTTATATTTTCATGTACACATAGCATGATATCCAGATTTCCTGTTTGTGCTCATATTTTCTGACGAGTAATGCAGGTCAATAAAAAAGTGGTGTGTTTGATGAAATCAGTCAATACTTGACATTCCGTTTTGGAGAGAGAGTATTGAGAGGTTAAGAGCTCAGACTCTGCAGCCAATCTGCTTGCAGGCAAGTCCTGGCTCTGCTATCCACGGACCGTGGGATTGGAGGCAAGTTGCCTAACCTCTTTAAGCCCCAGTTTCCTCATTTAGAAATGGGGATACCAACCTTATAGGGTGTTGGGTAACATAGGGTGTTTTATATATATAATATATATAAAGCACTTAGACATTGCCTGGCAGAGTGAGGGCCATCGCTTTAAACAGAAATGTCATCCAGCTTCAAAAAGTTGAACATTCCACTCCAGTGATTCTATTCTTGGGAGTTCAAATGTGTCTCACTCATTTCTGACTTACATTGAGCGTCATATTATGCTGCCAAAGAAGTCTGTGTAAAGACCTGTGTGACCTGCAACCACCAGTTTGAAGACGATGACAAATTTTCTTTAGCCATAATCAATTACTGAGTACCTAAAATAAAGAGAACTTGAAAATACTTGGATTGAAATTTTATTTAAAGGACTAGATTATTCTATTAAAGGTTTATTGGGAATATGTAGGCACATACTATATTTTGATGTTCACAATAAGATAAAAATTTATAGGTTTACAATACAAGAGATTATATTCAGTATGTAGGAGTAGCATTTTCCAGTTTACTTTGGTTCCACTGGTTAATTATAAATAAATAACATGATGTAGTGGGAAGAACACTTGTCTTGGCATTAGAAAATTCATGTAAGAATTCTGGTTCTGTTACTCTCTGCATGTTTTTGGGCAACCAAATCCCTTAACCTCTCTTATCCTTGGTTTTCTCTTCTGTAAAATAATATCTATCCTCACATGATTATTGTAAGGATTAAACTGAAAACACTTGTTGAAAAAGTATGTGCTCAGTAAACCTGAATGAAACAAAAATAAGTAACAAACTTGTCTAAACCCACTGTCTGCCACGAAAAAGGTGGGATTATCCCACTAAGCTTAATGCTTTTTGTGAAAGGAAATCCCAATTAGGCTGCTGAAAGGGGACACTCCTGGTAATATCAAATTTGCTAAACTAGCAAGTGTATAAACAAGGAGGATAAAGATTAGGGTTATAGAATCGTGTTTTCCTTGTCAACAGCCAGTTCATTTACCTTGAAAATGATGAAGCCTTAATTGTTGAAGATAAGGTGTCAAGATCAACAGGTAAGCATAAAGTTGTTTCTTTTTTCTTTTTGTAAATGCAATTAATTCTAAGAAATAAAAGACTTCTCTTTTCCCAATAGCAAGAGGCAGGAAATTGTTTCCTATTCTGTAGGAATTCATAAAAAAAAATTTAAACATCAAGTGGGTTGTCAGCTATTTTAAGATTTAGCATACTAACTAGAGTGCTTTGCTTAGAAGGTAAAAGTACTCTCTTCAGACACAAAATGTAATAATTTTGATCACTATATCTTGATACCAACATCATTACAAGTATTCCTTTGTTATTGTAATTTTCTTCCCTTTCTTTTGGAGATTTCCACTTTCACTCAATGCCCTCCCTAAAAGAAACTGTGTTCTGTTGGCATAGGAGGTGTAAACTATGCAAATAACCATCAGGGAGATTGGCTGAATAGCTGCTGATGTCACAGTCCCACCACCTAAGTACACGCTGTTTATTGGCTATTGTAAGAGGCAGGCAGGACTGGGAAGGCTCTGCATCACTTGCGAATTGGAGAAAGCTCTTAAGTCTAAACTAAATTTTATTCTGTTTTTTTAGTTAAAATGTGCTCAGAAGCATTTTCCAATATGTTATTACATTTTTCCATGTTATTCCATATGGTTATTACTTCAATATATCTCTGTATGTCTAGGTAAACATTTTAAATGATTGTTTACCATTCTATCAAGTGACTATATCATGGTTTATTTAACCTCTATTCACCTTATTCTCAGCTATTCATTTCATTTTTTGCCTTTAGGTACAAAACTGTAATTACCAGTTTTATTGAGAAATTATGTTTATTATTTCCTCCATTGCATAGAATCTCTGATACCTAACTAGCAATGCTTTAAAGCAGTAAACAAGCCTGGTTTGTCACCATTTTTCTCCCGGCTTTCCTAAGACCTGCATGGGAAATCCAAAGTCTATCTCATCCCTGGGAGTAGTGAATCTCCTATCTGTAATACAAAAAGGGGAAGTTCCTGCTTCTAATTTCAGGTCGGATGCATATTCTTCATTCTGGGTGCTTGTTGCTTCTTAGTAATGGGAGAAAAGTCACAAGAATCATGGCCAGAACAGAGGAGGTTTGTGAAGCATAAACTTAAACCCTGATTGTCCTGCTCTGTGTGAGAGCCTGGGGCTGGTAAAATGGCTGCTTTGTGTCCTTTCCCATCCCCATAGGGAATCCATACAAATCCCTGGACAATCTGTTACTTAAAGCTGAGAATGCTAGACCTTAAAAAATCAGAAAGAAAGAAGAGAAAAGAAAGAGAAAATATCAGCTTTGCTCTGAGAGTATCAGTTGTTTATTACTTTACATCTGAAGATAAATATCTATGGCAGTTCCATCTATTGTTCT